TTCTTGTTTGATTAGTTCCTTTTTTGTACTTAGTTTACCCGGTAACACGTTTTAACTGTTGGCTTGTAATTGAATTGAAAGTGCAGTACAACGATCGTAGCTAAATTATTCATCTGGTTGTGTTGGGCGGCACATCAGTCTGTGAGTTTTCTTAAAACTGGCCCAAATGCTTTAATTTAACATAAGTTTTCTTCTGCTTGCTTTTCACATACGTCCCAGTTGGAGCTCACCATCAGCATGTCATGTTGTTTTTCTAGCCTCACGGTGATGGATGATTTATTTGTTGTTTTCTTTTTACTCTCTCCTTGGTTCCTAGTCGTCTTCTCACTCTCGGCACAAACTCACAGTCCTCAGCTGTTGTTTAACAGCCAGTGAATCAATGACCCAGTTGTGCCTAGGTGATCTGGAGAAACAAATCCTCCTTTCCTAGAAACCGAATGACTCAAAACTCCCATGTGACCCAAGTTATATTCAAACAGGTTGCATTAGTCCAGCTTTGTTTGGTTCAACCACAAGGTCAACCTCCGTTACCCAGCTGTGCGTTGAATCTAGTGGTGGGAACAAAAGGAATGTTGACCAGGGATTGGCTTGATTCTGGAGTTCCTCTTCTCATCTCTGTGTTTAGCCCCGGTCCTACACAAGACCAGGTGCTCTCAGGGTTCATCACTTGTTGTGCATTACTGACTCAGACCATGTGTTGTCCAGATGCCCGACTATGAAGCCAAGTCACACTGGTGCAGTGAAATCTTCCTAACGGCACATAAGTGGGTCATTCCACTGCCTGATCACTGAAACTGACTGCTCTGTCCACACGTAGCCAGGGATCTGCCAAAACGTAGATATTTTTCTAAGTTTCGGCCTGTCATCCACACGAAAACGGAGTTTTTTCACACGAAAACGGATCTTTTTAAAAACTCCGGCCAAAGTGAAGATATGCGTTTTCTCCGTTTTGGGTGTCTGCGTGTGGACGGACAAAACCGGAGTTTTAAGGTCCGCAACGGCACTTTCCGCGACAAAAAAATGCTGACATCACGTGTGCGACCTGTGTTTACACCAGCCGACAGCATGGATGCCCTCAGAGCTGCGCTCTGTCACTACCCGATCCATCAATTGTCCAAGCACTTTTTGCTTGTTTGTTTTTGCAAGCGGAATTACTGCTCCTTGCGGAAGACCACAGACGAAGGACGAGGTTAAGAACGGGGGAAGTACTGCTGCCTACAGGTCTGGCATGTCCTTCACAACGTATTTATCCGGGTACGTGTGGACAGAGTTTTTTTTTTTTAAACGCGGTGGTGTGGATGCAAGTTTTTGGAGGGGCGGATATTCATTTTTTAAAAACCCGGCTACGTGTGGACTAAAGATTCAACATGCTTGTTTTTATTCTTCACACATTGTGAAGTTTCTGATCAAATCCAGATGTTACACAGATATAATGAAGGATTATTCCAGCAGTGTTTCCCCTACGTAGGCTCAGGCGTGAAAATACAGCACCATGGCTATGAAATCAACACCCCCCCCCCCACCTTTCCCGCTCTCATGGCTGTAACCATACTGTAACCTCAGCAGGTCTACCATTGGGCTGAAACCATTTTAAGTTGAGCCAATCACAGTGCTCTGTGTTTGTAGAGAGACATTGGGCGGATTTTGCACCGAAGCTGCAACAGAGAAAAACTACAAAGATGGTGTCTGCTCAGGAACAGTGTTTGTTTAAACGGCTTTGACATCAACATGGACCTAAGCTTTTCTGGAGCCCTTTTTAGAAAACATGCCATGCTGGCGAATAGGTGTAATACTGCCACCATTACGTTTGCAGCATTCGTTCACCATGCTTGGTAATAATGTTGCTGCAACGCTGGACTTGCAAATGCATGTTACGCCTTGGGGCAACAGAGGGTGGTGTCATGATGATGTGGGGAGTTACTGCTGAGCTCCGGTAACTATATTAAAAAATGAAAGTAAATGCGGTGTGGTGGTGTGCACAGGTGGGGCTGCAGGGATTCTGCCGGCGCGCCCCGGGCGGCGATCAGCAATCAGCCACCGGCTGATTATAAAGGATGCCACCACAGGTGTAGAGCAGAGACTGGAAGTAGACTGGAGGAACTGGGTTAGCTCTTGTCTGCGTCTCAGCGCGGCAGGGTGTGAGGGCTAACATGGGTGTGAGGTGTACATAAAGCTGTGAGCAAAGCAGAAGCTGTGTCTGTGCTCTATGTGTGTGGGTCCGTTAGCTAGTGAAATGCTACACATGAGCAGTGAGTTTTGCTTTTGTAAACAGAATCAGCTGAGATGATAAACTGGAGCGATCCAGGAGCTTCTCTCCATTAGAGCTGGAGATAGATCACCACACTTGATAAGCGTGGCTTCAATCGCATTAAAAAGCAAGTTATGTCCAAGATAAACGGAAGTCTGCGGCACACCGCCCCCACATCCCCTTTATACTGTCATTGTGTATTTTTTTGTAAAAAGGACATGATTGCGCCACATTACTGCCACAGCCTGACCACCTATAAACGACCTAAGGCTCCCTGTTGCCGCCATGGCGTTGCAGCAAATTGGTAGTATTGTTTTCTAAGAGAGGCTTTTGTGACAAGAGCAGATAAGAGGTACTTAAAAGGCAAGTCACCCCCTACCAGATTCTTACTCCACTCCCACTTCCTGTTGGAAAAATGCAGCAAATGCTGTTTCCAGGCAGACTGAGAGGTTACACACACACACACACACACACACACACACACACACACACACACACACACACACACACACACACACACACACACACACACACACACAGATGCTCACAACGACATCATGGCATCGTAATGTACCAGCTAACGTCATAGCGATGGCAGATTGAAATTGCATTGCAGAGTTTTTACCTGAAGATGGCGCAACACTGACAGTTTTAGGCAGAAATTTTTCATTTTAACTAGGGCTGGGCGATATGACCTAAAATTGATATCACGATATATTGAGGATTTCACCTCGATAACGATAAATGGACGATAACTACAGGTATGCGCAGAAACCAAAGTTGTCCACTAGACGGGGCTGTCACACGTATGACGTAGAGTCACATTTTTACGTGACTCAAGGAGGTACAGCTTCTTAAAAGGACACGAACGTTGCCGTCTTACGCACATCTTTTCATTTTCTTATTATCAATTTTTTTGACATGGGAAAAATGATCTCAATAAGAGTCAGAAATTTCGATAACAATAAAGTTTTTATTTATTGCCCAACCCTAATTTTAACTAAAGATGCATTAAAGTGCCAAATTATTGACTACACATGTCTACAGCACGCGCAGACGCTCATTTATGTAGTTTAGCAGCAAAAACGTTGATTTGGGGGTGACTTGCTCTTTAAGTCATTCATTAATAAAAAGAATGTATTTTCTGCTTCTTTGATGGGCATGCCGAACTGCCCTGTTGACCGATTACCATAATGATGAATATGTCACGTTGTTTGTTGCTCTGATTGGTCCTAGCGCTGTCCAATAGCATGTGTAGATGGTTTAAAAGACAACCGTACATTCTGACCCACGACTAGGGATGGGTACCTTTGACATTTGAATCGATTCGGTACTAATTCCCGGTACCTAGAAATTGATACCGGTACTTAACGGTACCAATTTTAGATACTTTTGAGTGTTTAATATTTTAATTCTCTTTTATAATTAAATATATATTTTTCTCAATATATAACAATATTTGATAAATATCACGATAAATAACATACAACTGCTTGTATTTTAACATCGTCCTTGTAGTTTTATAAGCTGATAATTAAACTGAAGCAAACATCTTTACTGTGAACTAAATTTACTGTGTATCTTCATTCCTTTTGCCGTCCTTTGTCTTTGATTTTTCCTGCTGGGAAGTTAGAATTTCCGAGGAGAAAGCAAACACACCATTAGCTGATAACAATGGTGGCATAGGAAGCTAATTTATCAAGCTAACGTTATCTTAAACAGTTTATTTAACTGCTGGAGCAGATTAAAACGATGATGCCTCACACTTAGATCGTTGTCACTGGTTTTATCTTCACCCAATCACCCGTCACATTTAGTAAAGTGAAGCCAAACTTTAGAGCGCGTTCATGTTCTTCTAGTCGGAAATTCGGAGTTCAGAGAAGAAAGCGAACGCACCATTAGCGGAACGTAAGCTGACAAATCAAGCTAACGTTATCTTAAACATGTTATTTACCTACCGGAGCAGATTAAGATGAGGATGTCTCACTTAGATCGTTGTCGCTGGTTTCATCATCACCCAGTTACCCATCACATTTAGTGAAGTGGACCCAAGCTTTAGCGTGCGTTCTTTCTACCATGCTGCTCTGTTTACAACTGGCTCGCAGCGACCAACGACGTAACGCTCTTGCGCATGCGCAGCTGTCTAGGCAAGTTCTCGTTATGAAGGACGTGTACCGAAACAAGGCACCGTTTGAAATGACGTGAATCGGTGCTCGGTCGGTACTATGGAATTCGGTCGGTACCTTAAAAAGTACCGAATTCAGTACCCATCGCTATCCACGACTAATCTCTGTCTATGGATCGTGGCCAGACTGTATATTCACACATATGGTTAGTTAGTTGTTTAATTAGTCACTGTTGGTGATGGAGCAATTTATGTTATTTATGAGAAAGCGGCTTTTGTCTTGCTCTTAAGTCAGATTAGTAAATCAGACCAAAATTTTACCCAAACACCAGAAGTTTTTAAGGAAATGTGCTAACAGCTTGTTCTCTAAATTTTTCATGGCTGCTGTTTAAATATGTGCTTCACATTGACTCAAAATTCACTCTAATGGTTTGAAATGGAAAACAATGGCCTTACAGGATGTGTGTATTTAAAATGCAGTTTTTCGTTTGCTGAAACCAGAAGCCGATGGTCTCTTTTGTCCAGATTTGAATGTTTTTTCAGTGCATCCATATAAATGTTAACCTGCACTTCAAGCATCAGTCTGATTTGATAATGAGCCTATTTTTTTGTGTGTTTGTCTTTTAGCCTCACGAGTTTGACGAGTGTCGGCTGGACATCAGTGTGAACGACAGCGTGTGGTACCTGAGAGCACAAGATCCAGAGCACAGGAACCAGTGGATCGACTCCATCGAACTGCACAGGGTTAGTCGTGCAAACCTGCAGGCCTCAGGAGAAATGAAATCCTCGTGACATTCAGAACAACTTCAATCACAGCTGGATTTGTGAGCGTGTGTGTTTACTGTATGCACATGTGTGTGTGTGTGTGTTTCTGTTAGAGCATCAGAGAGGGGAGGAGAGAGAAGGGAGGAGTCCAGGGAACGATCATCATCCCTCCACCACTGGTGCGTTTGTCTGTAGGACACTGGTGCACTATTACTCACTATTACTAGTGCGTGTCATTGTGATGTGAAAGAAATAGCACAAATTCTGTATCATAATCATGAGGCTGGATCTGTCTTGGAGGTGAGTCACTACAAGGAAAACCGAAAACTACCCACTCGTGTTGGTTTCGTTACAAACAAGAGAAATGATTTCTTATTTAAGATTTACTTTAGCTACAGGCTTCTTCTGGTTGAACATTAGTATTTACATTCTTTCCCACTTTTGAAGGCATGTGAACATTAAATAATACGGCTAATATATTATTTTCAAATGTTAGCAATATGAATAAGGGCATGTCTAAATATGCACTAGAAGTCATCAGATGATGAAAACTGACCCATATTCAGCAGGATGAACTTAATAAGTGATTGGCCAATCAGAGACTCTGAGATTTTTTATAAACGCGTTTTTTCCCAAGCAGCAGTTAAAAGATGAGACATTTTTCCAGGTCCATGAACACACCATCTCCTACAGCTAGTTCATTTTAGCAGTAACCGACTCTCCACTTCTTTGGAGATTTGACTTCTGAGATCAACATATTCAGGTTAACTTAAAAATTTTAAATAAAAGCTTTTTATAGTAGCTTTACTTTTTGTGATAAAACAGAATAAATCATAATCTCTACTGGTGAAAACGAGCTGTCCAAAACCTTCAGAACTTGAATTGTTGTCCAAACATGTGGCACAAATCAAAGAATCGAATCAAAGCAGCTGAAACCTTTGAAAGTTAAAGTCCCATAGTCATCATCACACACTGGTGAAATTCATCTCTGCAGCTGACCCATAACCGTGGGGAGCGGTAAGCTGCAACCGTGGCCGAGCTCAGGAACTATTTGGTGATCAACCCCCCCCCCCCCCACACACACACACACACACACCCCCACCCACCCAATCCAACCCCTTAAAGCGGAGTGTCAAGCAGTGAGGCATTGGGTCCCATGTGTTAGGTCTTTGGTATGACCCGACCGGGATTGCGGGGGCAGCAGTAGCTCAACAGGTGTAGCGGGTTGTCCAGTTATCAGAAGGTTTGATCCCGGCTCCGGACAGAGAATTCTGCTGTTGTGTCCTTGAGCAAGACACGTAACCCAACTTGCCCGCTGGTGGTGGTCGGAGGGAACGGTGGCGCCTGTGCTTTGCAGCCTCGGCTCTGTCAGTGCGCCCCAGGGCAGCTGTGACTACGGTGTAGCTCACCACCACATGGGTGTGAATGAATAAATGAAACGCTGTGGAGCTTTGGAGTCCTCTGACTCTGAAAGGCGCTATACAAGTTCAGGTCATTTATCATTTATTGAACCCCGATCTCCCAGTCCCAGGGCGGACACTCTACCGCTAGAGACGGTAAAGGTCGATCAGCTGTGGACGTTTCCTTCCTCTGGAAGGTTTTCCTGCCGCCACTCAGCGGCATCAGGTCTGGATGTGGCTTAAACCACACGCTTTAACACATCAGATGACTTTAATTACAAAGACTTTAACAAATGCTTTTGGTTGGAATTCTTTTGGTTAAGAAAATTCCAAGAAACATTTAAACAAATGAGAAGCATCAGTTCATAACGTACATCTAAGGTCCCTAACTGGTGATTTAGTTTGGCTGTAAACACAATCACAGCTGGTGCTCGGTAAGCTGCACAACTCTGGCTCGTCGTTACATCGTCTGTCTGTGGGATCACCACACCTTCGTTCTTTCTAGTAAAACTAATGCTTCCCATTTGTCCTCAGCTTGGGAAATCCCTGCCTTTCCTTGCCCCGCCCCTTTATTCCAGACCCAAAAGCAGCAGGGAATCTTATGCACATGAGCTCCTTTCAGCCGTCCCACCCATTCTGAGTCACCACTGAAAACTCCTTCCTAGAAGGCCCCCGCTTCCCTTTCACATTACTCACAGCAGCCAGTGTTGCCATGGAAACACAAAGCATTACAGCTAAAAACAGCAGTCATCAGAAAGATTTGACTGGCAACAGGAAGACTCCTGTTTATGTGCAGCGTAGCAAAATAATATAAAGAAATCTTGATTATCGTTAAAAAACAGAAAACGTTTTTATTTAAAGTCGTGTGAGTTGTAGCTTTTATGAAAACTCGCATTATTAAATGATTTAAAAGATGCTGGTTAAGCCTGTGTGTAGGTTTAAATCCCATTGGATCATAAATATTTCATACATTTAACTTTTATTCCTGCTTTCCCCCTAAAATCCACTAAGCAGATGACTCATCCCTCATGTAAACATTCACACAGTCACCAGGGCAGCAGCATGCTGGCTAAAGGGCCGGAAACACACACCATCACAGGCAGAAGCTACTCCTGGTCATTGACCGCTAATAACCCCAGCTCATGTTTGCCCCGCCCCCTGGTGGTAGAAAACAGAAGTGTCTCTCTGTCTCAAAGGGCATGTCGGTGCACCTTTGGCGCAGTTGGCTCCCCCCCCCCCCCCCCCCCCCCCCCCCCCCCCCCCGGCAGCAGGACGATCACACCCACAGTCAGATGGTTATGTCAGAGGAAACAGGAACTAGTCCTCTTACAGGAAGTGGTTTAATTTGGGCTGCTGGAAACAGGTTTCCCTTCTGATTTTGTGTGTGTGTGTGTGTGTGTGTGTGTGTGTGTGTGTGTGTGTGTGTGTGTGTGTGTGTGTGTGTGTGTGTGTGTGTGTGTGTGTGTGTGTGTGTGTGTGTGTGTGTGTGTGTGTGTGTGTGTGTGTGTGTGTGTGTGTGTGTGTGTGTGTGTGTGTGTGTGTGTGTGTGTGTGTGTGTGTGTGTGTGTGTGTGTGTGTGTGTGTGTGTGTGTGCGTGTGTGAGGGAGAGAGAGAGAACTTGTATTATCTAGAAATTATCTTATTTTTAAATTGCAGTTTTATTTTTTTCTCTTGTACTTTTGGTTTAAAACTGCTCATTCAGCTTAGATCTGTATTATTTTGAATAAATTGTGTTTTATTTGTGACGTGCCTGAAGCTCTCTCTCCTTCCACACCTGGGCGTTTCCACAGGCTGACTCTGGATATGGCTCTGAGTCCAGTCTGCGGAGACACGGCTCCATGCTGTCACTCACGTCAGCCACCAGCGGCTACTCCACCACCTCTACCTCCTCATTCAAGGTGAGCATGGCAAGCCACGAACGTATCCTTGCACGGGGGGTTCATATTTGCTAAAACACGTAAACGAGGAGCTGAAGCAGGCTGGTTCTCTGAGAACTTAACCAAAGCCACTTTTCGTTGTATCTTTCCCCCACATCTTCATTAGGGTCACAGCCTCCGAGAGAAGCTTTCAGAGATGGAGACATTCAGAGACATCCTGTGCAGGCAGGTGGACACGCTTCAGAAATACTTTGATAGCTGTGCAGACGCCGTGTCCAAAGATGAGCTGCAGAGAGACAAAAGTAAGAACCACAAACACATTTACAGAAAATTAGTTTTCTGTTTTTAACGGAGACTTCATCTGAACTCAGCTTCAACCAACTCACCCTCATTACTAACGGTGATTTATCCCTGTAGCCCTAGTGTGACTCCATATCATCTCAGTTAATGCAGCACTAAACAAAGCCCGGTTTATACTTCTCCATCAGTGTTTCCCTCACATAGGCGGCTGAAATCCCAGCGCCACGCCTACAAGATCCCAAGATTTTTTTTTTTTTTTTTGCGCAGTTTCCCGAAGAAGCAGCGGGAACTACTGTGTTGTTGCTTGTGATCACAGCCGGCAGGGCAGGGTGGTTACAGCTAGGGATGAGCCGCATACTCGTTTCAGACGAGTATCTGGTACGAATAAAGCATTTTTGACGAATACGAGCATGAAACGAGTAAAACCAAGCCCCCACAATGCGGGTGAAAAATTGAAGCTCATCCACTGGGGGCTGGTGTCAGAAGCGAGCAAATCCTCATTGACTCCCATGTTAAAAATACCAATTTCACAGCAGAAATAAACATGTTTATAGCCTGGTACCAAAACATGTTTTTGGTTTAAATGATCTAGTTTACACTCATGACAACTCTGAGGGGGGTGAATTTTTTTCTCACTCTTCTGTTTAAGTGTTTTAAAAGCCTAAAATTCTGTATAATTAATGAGCATCCGACCCACGTGACCACAGAGCTAGCTCCGTGGAAAGGCCTCAGTAGAGCCTCGGTCTGGCTTGGAAACTGCTCCGGGATTTTGAGTCTCTGTGTGTGTGTATTCTTTTTTGGATATTATTTGTGCAATTGTTGGACAAAATGACTTGCTGTGGTATTAATTGCACTAATAGAGCGTCCAAGGAGTCTCCACTTCATTTTTTTCGGTAAGTAAAATTATATTTATGTATTTTAGGTCACTGCCGAGCTGAGGTTAGATTTCAACATGTATTGTTTAACCATGAAATTTAAATGTAATAGGGTAAAACCCAGTGCATTTAACATAATGCTGCACTTTAGAAAATGGGTTGAAATATAACATGTTGGTGGAGCTGGGTTCCGACTATCGGCTTGTGGAGCTCTCGGGAGACCGATGTTTTCCACTCGGTTCGCCCCTCCCCGCAGCTCGACGCATCTGTCTGATCGCGGCTTCTGTCTGCTGCGCGGGCTGCCGGCTTGTGGAGCTCTGGGATGGAAACCTTTCCACCCGGTTCTCCCCAGCGGCAACTCTGCACATCTCAGATCGCAGCGGCGCTTGTCTGCTGTGCGGCTGCCGGCTTGTGGAGGTCTCGGAGACCTCTGTGTTCCACCCGGTTTTACCCAGCGGTCAGCCCGGCGTATCTCTGACTCAGAAGCTCTGGTGTTGTCCACAGTTAACTCCGGTTGTAGCTAGGTTGCTACCTCCGTTAGCTTAGCTCCCACCTCCGCGTTAGCTTTGGGTTAGCTTCAGGTTAGCTTGTAGCTAGTTCTACCGGGTGTCGTCAGTTGATCCCAGCCTTACAGCCCCACCCTCAGCTCCACCTCTCTTCCCTTTTGTGGAATTGTCTGGGCTTGATGGAACCTGTGACACGGTCAAAATGGCGGTGGTGGCCACCTCCCATTTTTCTTCAAAAACGTGTTATTGGAGTCTATGGAAACCCATTGTCCAATATTTATATGTCGATGAGTAAAACTCATAAATATCTGTAATCATGCTGAAGGAAAATCCTCATTGGGTAACTGACTGTCTTCACGCTCTGTGATTGGTCAGTCACATAGAGCGCCCGCCCCTCCCTACACACAAAACTGCAGCCGGGAGCTCAATCCGTCCAGGCAATGCACGCACGAACACACACACACACACACACACACACACACACACACACACACACACACACACACACACACACACACACACACACACACACACACACACACACACACACACACACACACACACACACACACACAGAGAGAGAGAGAGTAACGGATCTCTGTGCTTGCTTCACTGTTGCTCACGTTTCTTCAGAACTCCCTAGGTTTTCTTCAGCTCGCCTCTTTTTCGCTTGAATATTTAAAGTTATTTTTTTCGTAACGTACGTGGTGCATTTGACAAGACAGAGCTGAAAACGGCTCGTGCATGCGTCGGTCACTGCCTCCGCTCCGGTCGGGTTTTATTTTTTATTATTTTAACTCTCTCACACACACCTCAATCAACATTGTTTTGTTTAACTGTGTGTGGGAAAAATGCCAACAACGTTAGGAAAAAATCTGTTTAAATTATTATTACTATTACGTTCAAATTAAAATAAAATGGTTCTAGTATTTCATATTTCCTAGTTCCTACTGCATGAGTTCAGATGCATTAATTCCTAGGGGAAGCACTGCATCACCTGGTTTATACTTCTCCATCACTCGGGGAGTGTTGCAAAGCAATTCCCCGCCAGGACAACAGTTGTGTTGATTTTATTTCCCTGTTTTCATTGGTCTCTTTATCCCTTGTTTTACCCATTTGTCTTCTACTTCAATGTTTTACCTTTTTTGCACTATTTGAATAGCTTTTATTTTCGATTTATTCATCATGTTTCACGTTTCTCATGTACCATGTTCAGCGCCTTGGGCTTCCCGACAGGGTCGTGGAAGACGCTTTATAAATAAAGCTTTGATTGATTGATTGATTGAACAGAGGGAGTATGCCATCCACCATTACCCTCATGTTTCCCGCCCCTGATGGTGTATTTACTAATTTGTTTATGTGTTTCCAAAACTTTATAACAGACTTGTTTTTCTTCATTCCCCTCCACCTCTAAACCCACGTTTCCCATCATTTCCATCTATAGATAAAATATTTGCACCATATCTTTGCACTCCTTCAGTCACGCGGTAATAAACGTTCATATTTTTGGACTTTTTCTGCGACGCGTACTTCGATCTGTTCCACGGTAGCTGCTAAATATTTTTTGACTTTTTGACGGGGTAATGGTGGTGCTGTTGACGAATTTACAGGAAGCTGCGTCCTGACCAGTCACAAGCTTGCGGTCTTGGTCACTTTCGACGGATGTTTAAAAAATTTGGGCATGCCTGCATCCCCCTCTGTGAGCCTGTCAGAGAGCGTTTGCACCAACCTATTGCAAACAACCCTGTCACAGCCAGCGATAGCTAATGCTAACAACAAGCTAACGCTAATGCAAATGAAATATTCTCGGAAACCTTTTGAGACATTTTGGACACTCGAAGCGCCTCGTGATTTTATCTTGAGAGACACTATATTAAAAAATTGTTTTCTCTCACTCACACTCACACACACACACACACTAATATCAACAAGCAGGGCAAACTGGTCACACACACACACACACACACACACACACACACACACACACACACACACACACACACACACACACACACACACACACACACACACTGATATCAACAAGCAGGGCAAACTGGTCACACACACACACGCGCACACACACACGCGCGCACACACACACACACACACACACACACAGCTATCAACAAGCAGGGCGAACTGGTCACACACACACACACACACACGCACACACACACACACACACACACACACACACACACACACACACACTCATCTCAGTGAGATACTGACCAGAGATGATGAGTACATTTGAAATAAAATAGCATTTCTTTTTAATAAAGGTTGTTTTTCTGTAGCTTTACTTACTGTTTAGGGACCGTTGTACATTTTCTTCATGCTTTTTAAACACAGGTGACTGTTTTTCTGACTCTTGCTTCTTAAATAGAATTTATTTCTTCCTTATTAGTTGGAAAGAGAAATCAAACAGTTGAACCTTCTACATGAGAGAATATTTAAGTTTTAAAATGTACAGGGAAGTGTGTCTCAAACAGCCCCCCCCCCCCCCCCCCCCCCCCCCCCCCCGGTCCATGCTGGCCGAACATTTGTTCACGGCAGCCTGAACACGGAACCCGCGGATGAAACCCTGCTTTTGTTCTCCTCACCTCCCTCTCTGTGTGGAGATGAAACCAGACCATTGTCGGATTGTCTGGCCCTGCTGATGGTTTGTGTCGTAGCCTGAGCTGAGAGTGGACGCTCTAGGCGTTACCCGTCTGAAGACTGGGTGTCCAATAAGACTTTGTCTCCTTCCAGTTGTAGAGGACGATGAAGACGATTTCCCGAGCACCCGTACAGATGGAGAGTTTCTGCACAACAACGGCAGCAAAGAAAAATGTGAGTTTCCATTCAAACGTTTGTTTTTCTATTTGAAACTGCAGCGAAGTTCTACAGTTTTGTTGTTCCAGATGTAAAAGTTCTGATTTAGTTCTTATTTTCAAATTGACTCTGTTAAATAACCCATAAAATATTAATTGAAGGAACTTGACACGATCCCGTTTCCTCTGCTTTCCTCCTGCAGTGTTCCAGTCTTTAAGTCCCAAAGGAATCAACGGGATAGACTTTAAGGGCGAGGCCATCACGTTTAAGGCCACCACTGCTGGGATCTTAGCCACCCTGTCCCACTGCATCGACCTGATGGTGAAGAGAGAGGACAGCTGGCAGAAGAGACTGGACAAGGTCTGCGCCGTTCACCGTTTTGTGTTCAAACACATTTACTCTGGAAAATGTCTCAAAGTGTGACTGGTGTTCACCCACAGGAGATGGAGAAGAGGCGAAGGATAGAGGAGAGCTATAAATCAGCCCTCAGTGAGCTCAAGAAGAAGTCTCACTTTGGAGGTCCAGATTACGAGGTGAAGCTCCTGTGTGTGTGTGTGTGTGTGTGTGTGTGTGTGTGTGTGTGTGTGTGTGTGTGTGTGTGTGTGTGTGTGTGTGTGTGTGTGTGTGTGTGTGTGTGTGTGTGTGTGTGTGTGTGTGTGTGTGTGTGTGTGTGTGTGTGTGTGTGTGTGTGTGTGTGTGTGTGTGTGTGTGTGTGTGTGTGTGTGTGTGTGTGTGTGTTAGTGACGTGTGTGTGTTAGTGACGTGTGTGTCTGCTTACAGGAAGGCCCAAACAGCCTGATCAACGAGGACGAGTTCTTCGATGCTGTGGAAGCGGCTCTGGACAGACAAGATAAAATCGAGGAACAGGTGAGCGGGAGAATCCTGAAATCTGTGATGTCATTTAGATTGATGTTTATAAACAAAATCGTCTCTATTGTTTATGTTTAGTCTCAGACAGAGAAGACAAGGATCCAGCGGTCCAGTCCTCTTCCCCCTGAAGATGTTTATTCCTGCTCCGGCTCACACAGATTTTCTGAGAAGGTCTGGGCTAATTTCTCAAACTGCTGTTTTTATCTGTCCGTCTTCCATTACTTCCCAGTTTTTAATTTTAATTTTGTCTTTTTATACATTTTCGATCCATCAATCTCCTCTTCTCTCATCCTTCTTTTAGCCTCATAGTGAGGTAGTCAGGGCCCGTCCAAAAGATGTCCACAGATTCAGCACAGAGGTAACTTCCTGTCCAGGTTCAGCCTGTCAATCATCTGTTTGATCTGTGTAAACTCAATGCCACATTCACACGGCGGTGGAGGCTTCTGCAGCTGTTATAGGGGTTGTTTAAGGGGTAGTTCAGCCATTTACAAGTGTTTCCATGTTCAGACTAGCTGTTAGCTCATGCAAGCTAAACTATTTCCCTGAACTGAGGCCATTCAGGAAACCTTCAACAGCAGGTAGACATTTAAACCCTAATGAAAATAAACGCCGTTCAGAATGGCTGGAATATCTCTAACTGGTGAGAATTTGTTGTTTGGTCAATGGCTGGGAAATTTAGTGACTTCTTGTTAAATTCAAGGAGACCAATAACCCTAAATACTCCTTGGTAAGTACTATTACTAAAGTACTTAGAGCTGTTCGTGTTACAGTTGCAGGACTCGCGACACGTGTGGCTAACGTATAGCTAAGGTGTGGTTAACGTGTAGCTAAGGTGTGGCTAAGGTGTGGTTTAACGGTGTGGTTAACGTATAGCTAAGGAGTGGCTAACGTATAGCTAAAGAGTGGCTAACGTATAGCTAAGGAGTAGCTAGCGTATAGCTAAGGAGTAGCTAACGACTAGCTATGGTGTGGTTAACGTGCGGCTAAGGTGTGGCTAACGACTAGCTAAGATGTGGTTAATGTGCGACTAAGGTGTGGCTAGCGTCTAGCTAAGGTGTGGTTAATGTGTGGCGAAGATGTGGCTAACATGTAGCTAACAACTGGCTAAGGTGTAGCTAAGGTGTGGTTAACGTGTAGCTAAGGAGTAGCTAACGACTTGCTAAGGTGTGGTTAACGTGTAGCTATGAAGTAGCTAACGACTTGCTAAGGTGTGGTTAACGTGTGGCTAAGGAGTAGCTAACGACTAGCTAATGTGTGGCTAACGTGTAGCTAAGGTGTGGCTAACGTGTAGCTAAGGTGTGGCTAACGTGTAGCTAACTGTCAGGAAGAAAATGCTGAATCCCAGCTGCTGCTTCTGAGCCAAACGGGCCGAGTGACTCATCGTTTTCCAGGGAGGAGGTGATTGTGGGCAGCAGAGCACACAGCTCAGCTCTTTGTGTTCACAGTGAGGTTCATAACTGGGGAGGCACTGCCTGCTCTGGAGTCATACAGATAGATAGAAGCTTGTATTTTCATTTTGACCTTTAAAAGTTTTTAATTCTGCTTTAATCAATTCCAGGCTATTCAACAAAACACAATCAGGAAAGGAATATTTAATATTTGGTCATTTTTAACTTTTAAACATGAATTATTTTTCTTGGAGGAGCTCTCTTGTGACCCATGTTTGATCTTACCTTCATTTGTTTCTGAAGTCTGTGCACCTGACATCCGCATCCTCCAATATCTCCTGTTCTGACTGAAAATCCAGTTTAGTTTTGAGCCATCGCCTTCCATTTACTCCGAGCAAATTTAAACTGGTTCACTGTTCCAGAGCTGTGGACACCACCCCCCCGCCCTGTACGTAAAAGAGAACGCACTGTGCACCTGTGTCTGTGGGCTCAGCACCCCCCCATCAGTGAGGCACATGTGGAATAAAACAGACAGTGGGCATATGCCAACTTCCTGTTTCAGTCTGTGGAGGCAGCGCTCACCTGTCTGGTCCGACCAGACAGAGCAGCTCTTCACACATGAACTGATGCGGCGCATCAGCGCTGCTCTGTTAGAGCCGACGCAACACTCGGGCTTCTGCCGTGAATTTGAACAGAAAACACGCAAATCCAGTCATTTCTACCAAAAACACGTTGAAATGATACTGAAAACAAATGTTTAGTCCAGTTAGTGCACACACTGGTTTTCTATCATATCATCATTAGTATTTCCTGTGTTATGATGACAGCAGAGGCACTGCCTGTTTTTCTGTGTTTCTGCTGATGGAGATTGGTTTAAACTGGTTTCCAGTTTGGTTCTCATCACCCCTCACCGTCTGGGACTTGAGTAACTTTTTAAACTCATTATCTAATCGATATTTCACCTTCTCTGTCCCGTTGTGTCGTAGGTGGAGGAGATGGTGCAGAATCACATGACCTACTCCCTGCAGGACGTCGGCGGGGATGCTAACTGGCAGCTTGTTGTAGAGGAGGGAGAAATGAAGGTAGAAGTCTTGCTTTTCGGCCCGTAAATACAAGCAAACGTTTAGAAGGTGTGGTTTTACACCTTACACCTGTGACACAGGTATACAGGAGAGAAGTGGAGGAGAACGGGATTGTACTGGACCCGTTGAAGGCTACTCACTCAGTGAAGGGGGTGACCGGTCACGAGATCTGCCACTACTTTTGGGACACAACGTACCGCAACGACTGGGAAAGTAGGTGTCTGACCTCGTCTTTGTGGCCCCCAAATCCCGCGCGCACCCCCCACCCCCACCCCCGACCGGGAGGTGTAGGATATAGCTGAGGAAAATAATCAAATAATCAATGCATGAGATGCGGGAATAAACGATTTTGCATCATAGAAGAGTACCATAATCAGTTATAGTGGAATGTAGTTGTGTTATTTTAACGGCGGCACCAGCGCAGCATCCACATCTGTCAGAGCGGTGTTCTCCACATTTACCGGGTAGGAAACTTTCATCTGCCTTTATGTGGTACTGCAGGGCTGAGCGCTAGAGTTATAACCTGAGGCCGAACCGAATCAGCTCGATCGGTTTTGTTGGATTTGGGCCGTAAATTATGTTAATTGAGCGGGTTGTCGCGTGGCGCGCTCCGCTCGCTCGATCAGCGACTGAGAGAGAGAGATCGAGAAAGAGGGAGATTGTCTGCTCACACAACACAGAGGATCAGAGGACGCTCCTCCAAACACAACTTATTATTTTCATAATTTCATTATTGTTTCTCTTGGAAGCGCTCAGTCAGACCGAGTGCTGTGATGTCAGGAGGTCCGGTCTTGGGGAGGGAGCGGGGTGAGTGACGGCGGCTGCAGCGTAACCTGTCTTATTTAGGGACACAGAGAAGTTAAAAGGAGAGAGAAATAGAAGATAGAAGTTCTTGTTCCACTTTATTCTTTTGTTTCATGAAGATAAAATGATGTTAAATTCAGCTTAAAGAGAAACTGGGAGGAAGCTTTGGTTCATTTTAAGTTACAGGAGATCTTGTCTCCTGTCTGCTCCTCCAGAAACAGCATGGACATGAGGGTTACATGGTGAGGGTCACACAGGACAGGTTAGTGCAGTCACACAGCCGAGCTGGAGGGGGACAGGTGTTGTCCTGCTTTATATTGCAAGCTTGTGTGTTATGTGCATTACAGCCGGCGATCCAAACAGCAGCATTATAATTGAGGACCCCTGTCCTAAAGGAATAGTTCAGATCTTTGGTCTAGGTTTCTGTGGGAAGCTTGCAAATAACGGGCTCTTCTACAGCTCTGAGCTGCTGATGCGGATTTGATCTGATTCTGATTGATGACAAAGAAAAGTGATAGGCAAATTAAAATGCCTATTCATTGATTTTTAATTCCTGATAACCTTGAATAGATAGATCTGTGTCTAAATCCAGGAACTGCAGCCCTCTGAGTGCACATTTTCAGGACGATTACATCACAGCATGGCAACAAGGCCGTCTGAATTTAAATGTTACTCGAAACACGTCCTCATTTGCCCACATGGCGATTTTAATATCTCTCAGTACAACACATCAAAGCTTAAAGCAGTTGCCTTCTCAGGCTTTTATGCTTATTTGTGTTTTAAATATATATTTTAATCAAAAATAAGAAAAATCCTAATCAAGCTAGTATGATGGGTCTCATTTCTTTGTGTATTAGTGCAAAGTTTAGTTCTGGCATCTGTTTGTTGCCATCACGGTTGCCAGGCAACATATGCTCAGGAAGGCACAGGAATAACTATGAAGGCTAGACCGTCCAGATTCACAGCTGCTCTTAGTGGTCGAGGAAGATCCCGCCTACGTAGGATAGGTCCTCACAAGGATGCTGCCCCTGGACACAGCTTTTAGGGCAACTGGTCTCACAATCAGTAGTGATGATTTCATTCACGTTTATTTTTTATGTAATTCTTTATAGCTACCATTGAAAACTTCAACGTCCTGGAGACGCTGTCAGACAACGCCGTCATCGTCTATCAGACACACAAGGTAAAGAGCTGCAGTCCATCTGCAGAAGGTCTCTGAAGGTACCAGAACAAGCTGCTGGATGACTAAACATCACAAACTGAATCACGCGACCTCGTTGACCTGTGTTGCAGCGGGTGTGGCCTGCATCTCAGAGGGACGTGTTGTACCTGTCTGCTATGAGGAAGATGGTGGCCAACAATGAGAGCGACCCAGACACGTGGCTGGTCTGTAACTTCTCAGTTGATCACAACGACGCTCAGGTGAGAACTGGGATCCTTCTAAAATGTCCAGCGCTGAATAAGAAATCCGTTTTTAAGGATCTGTGGTCTTCCTGTGCACAGCCAACCAGCAGATGTGTTCGTGCCAAAATCAACATCGCCATGATCTGTCAGACGCTGGTCAGTCCACCAGAGGGCGACAAAGAGATCAGCAGGGACAACATCCTGTGTAAAATCACCTATGTAGCCAATGGTGTGTATCTGCAGTGTGTCCTCCTCTCCAGCAAGCCAAATTTGGTATGATAGGATGTCAAAGGAAGATCCGGCCTTTCTCGCCTCTGATTGGCTGGAATAGCTCACCTACGATTGTGGCTGTTTCATGTAACCGCAAACTGTCCTCCCTCACTAAGTGCAGATTTTATGTCTGCAGCATCGGGTCTGCAGCCAGATCTAGAAAATGTAAACTTTTGAACGGTTATAAAAAAAAAACATTTAGTCCTGTTTTTCAAAATTGTTTTTTTTTTCTGTTTCTTTTATTTAAAAAAAAACCTGAAAAATGTAACATGTGAACTTGTAATAATTCTTGTTTCATTTATCACAGTTAGACTGACTCTATATCTGTTGGCCACTTTATTAGGTTAAGGCTGTTTGCATGGTGGAGCATGTCTCTCATCACGTGATTAAATGTGTTATTTAATCAAAGCGAATCATGATTAGACGTAGTTTCACCACTTTTCATCATTCTAAAAGAGAAACAGACCTGCTGCATGGTTTCATTCTATTTCATACCCAGGTAAGGCACACGTATGTTTATCCTATGTACTCTGCTTTAATGAGATAACCTCAATGCTTGAGAGCCAACAGATATAAAATAAGTCTTACAGTGTGATAAATGCAACAAGATTTATTAGAAGTTCACTTTTTACGTTTTTCTTTTTTAAATAATAAAATAAACAAAAACATATTTTACTAAACAGGAGAAAATGGTTATTAGAGCGCTAACTCTCCCAAACGGCTACTCCGTTGGTGGCCGGAGGACAGTCTGCCCTTAGCGAGGGAAGGCTGTTAGCGCCAACCAAAAATAGCCAATCGTAGGAGAGCTCTTCCGGCCAATCAGAGGGGAGAAAACTGGAGCCTAGTTTCCTCCCTTTCCATTTGGCTCACGGGTCCCAGAAGAACGAAAAAATTAATGCAAGTCAACAGGGCTAAAAACGCCATTTTCTAATCCGCGTTGCCTTACGCCCTGGATCACACATGTTGTACTGCAATGTAAGTAAAAACTAATGATGGGTGTTTCGACCACGCCTGTCACGTACTTTGAGATTTATCAGCTTGTAAAAGTTCGTAATTAGCCTGACGACAAATCTGACGTCGGTACATCCCATATACGACGTCACCGTGGAATCTCCTCTCTTAGCATAGCTGCTACTTGCCACATGACGACATTTATGGTGGTTATTTCCTCCTGAAAGACTGATTTTAAGTTCACTGAACTTACAGCCATTTTACCCTCTTGTTTATCGGCGTGTCTGGTACGACGACGTCACTTTGGTGAAGCGCATTTGTAGTCCTGGACGGATTTTCACACAAAATTTAAAATGACATCTCTTCTCCCACCTTGGGAAATACGTGCTTTGTTGGTATCAAAATGCTTCTTAAATGTGAAATCCATGGCTCATAACAAGCAGAGTTAGAACATAGCATTTTTAGCCCCGTTCAATTGCATTTGCTTTTTTGTTCTTCCGGTCTGGAAGTAGATGGGCATGACTTAGTGATTTATACATTTATATAGCATACATCAGTGACTACTTACCTTTCTCAGTGGCCTAGTGGTAGAGTATCCGCCCTGAGACTGGGAGATCAGGGGTTCGACTCCTGGTCGGGTCATACCAAAGATTTTGAAAAAATGGGACCCAACGCCTCCCTGCTTGACACTCAGCATTAAGGGGTTGGATTGGGGGGTTAAACCACCAAATGGTTCCCGAGCGCGGCTTGTCTGCAGCTCACCGCTCCCCCAGGGGATGGGTCAAATGCGGAGAATAAATTTCGTACACACACCTGTGTGCGTGACAACTAATGGGACTTTAACTTAACTTTTAACTATGGCAAGCATGCTTTTAAAAATAATACCCCCAGTGGTTAGTTTGGGTACCTGCTTTAAACACCTAGGATCATTTATGTCCAGATGTCGGCCTCTCGCGCTACTTTGTGTTGAAATATGATTGTCTTTTTTCTTATATGTTTCGTTAGAATCAGTTATTTGATGTTTATATGATCTCCATGATTGTGTGTGGAGCAGTAAGCAGGACCACACCCACATAGTTTTAATCAAAGCTAGCCTTTAGAAATTAAAAACGGAATGCTTTCCTGTCATCACATCTTGAGGGGGACCCCCACCCCCAAGCACAAATTTCCTCTGAACCGCCACAGCTAAAGGATCTTAGCAAACACAAAATGGTTCTTGAGTAAATTTTTACACCAAGAAACTATTTTTAATACAACGCTTCAAGATAAAAATCACAACGCACTTCACAAGAACGTTTATATATATATATATATATATATATATATATATATATTGTGATAAAAGAAAACATCTAGATTAAAAATGTGAAGGAAGAAAGAAAAATAATAAGTTAATCATGGGGTCCTGTAGAGCAACATGGAGAAGCTAGTGAGGAAGAATCAACAGAACGTCGCACAATTTTAGATGTTGAGGCCAAATTTGACATGTTCAGTGTTTGTTTACAGTGAATCCAGGAGGGTGGGCTCCTGCCTCCGTGCTCAGGGCTGTAGCTAAGAGGGAATATCCCAAATTCCTCAAGCGCTTCACCTCATATGTGCAAGAGAAAACTGCCGGCAAGCCAATTCTCTTCTGAGACTTACAGGTGACACGTTTTCCTCTTCCCCATTAGCAGCTTCTTCTGTTGTTTGAGTAAACAAGCTTCAGAATAAAACGTAAACATTTTTTTTGTTTTTCACAGGAAGAGGAGACGAGGACAGAGCTGCATCTGAAGCTTGGAGGACCCTCGACCTGAAGAACAGCAGCTGCTTTGACACAAAAAGACAGGAACGTACCACTTTACCCGGGTGGAGGAATCGAGTTAATCCCCGACCCAAATAGTCGGCATTTTTTATTTGGTATAATTCTTTCACCACGCTTCAGTTTGGGTTAGCGTTCCCCAGCAGCTCCTGATGCTGCATCAGGAGGCAGACGTTCAGGTTCTTCCTCCCTTTAGGCAGACATTTACATGTAAGTACGAACTGTAAGAAATTTGTAAAAAAGATTTAAAACCGTAGATTTTAGACTAAAATATATATTTCACGTTTTTTTTTTCTTTTTGTTCATTTCAAGCCTTCGTTGAAGCTGCTCATATTTCCCTGTCGTTAGGCCCACAGAGCTGTCTGTTATGTGTTCCTCTGATGAATCCACCTGATACCGGTGGTGAAGGAGGACCAATCAGATCATCTGAAATGTACAAAGTTAGCTTTTTGTTCATTCTCAGTGTTGACGTTAATATTTCTGACATTTTAATCACCTGTAAATAGTTCCGTTTGTGCTGAAGGTCTGCAAGCTTAGCCCGGATGCCTTAGTGTTGTAGGAAACCGTAGCTCCAGATGGGGTGAAGGTGGTGAAGTGCCTCATGGCTGTGTTCTAGTTACCAATGTTTTATCCTCGTAAGTCTTCTCCATTTCATTTAGAATGATTTTTACTGCTGAATTAACAATGAGGTTTGTTTTTCGCTCCCAGATGGCTGACAGGATTGTTTTACAAATTCCAGTATTAAGATTTCTGGTTAAGTTTCAGTTCATCATCCAGTTTTTGTCAGTATTTAATTAGTTACATGTGGCCTGACGGCTACCAGTACCAGTTTTTTTTTTCCCACCATTTAAAAACATTAATACATGATTGTGTATTTTCCACGAGTTTAGTGTGTGTAAGTTTTAGTCAGAATGGTGTGAAACTACAGCCTTCTAGTTTTTCTGCACTTTTTCCTTTGTTCTGCCAGACCTCTAGGTTGTCATCAGCCTTTGGTTTTGTTGCTAAAGGAGACTAAATGAAGCCAGATGATGCTCAGCCTTCCAGCTAAGTGGAACGATGCCAGATTTAAGCTCTCATCTAAAACGAATGTTTCCAACATGAGTTATACATCTGAATGTACGTAAACCTTTTTTTGTTAATTACTTCAAATTCTGTGGGATCATCTAAATGAGCTCACGTGGCCTCTCTTCTGCCCCGTTTTCAAAGTGAAATAAATAAATGTTCGCTCTAGTTTTCCATCTTTGACTCCATTTGCTTCTTTACAGAAAGACAAACTCAAGTAGGAAGGTAGTGTTTATTTAAATAGGTGCACAAGCATTTAAGAAAATCCTCTGAATTGAATATTTTACCATAAATCTTGTTCACATACTGCGCATAAGGTCACTTCTGAAGATCATACAAGGATGAGTGGGATCAGAAGCCTTTCTAATACTTACCTATCAAACAGCTTCAAATTTTTTTAGCTTTTTTTTTTTTAACTTCAAATGAAAACCTGAAGCAGATCAGAATGTGACGCTACCGCACCATGATCCAAACCAAGAAGAGCAGCCACCATGGCCATTCTAGAGTATACACAGTATACAGCAGCCTCCGTTTAGAGGGGGGCTCAAGAACATGAATACTGAGAAAAACACATTCAGGAACTAAACCAACAATAATTCACATCAACAGTCTCAGACTTTTGGCAAACAAATTAAACCCGTTACAAGATCTGATTTCTGGTCACCTTTTTTCCTTTTTTTTTTTTAATTAAACAAGCTCTTTGCGTTTGGCTTTTGACCCTAAAGAGGCACCATATTCTCAACACTTATTAACAACTCTGCTAGGGGAAAGGATCAGTACCTGTATTGGCATGTCAGATGGCACAATGTAACTGTAACAAATCAGGTCAGAGTCCAGCTGTGTTTATTAGCTGTGGGAGGTGATGCAGCACAAGCAGAGGTCAGCTTTAAGGTCACGCAGTCGCCTGGGAATCAGATACAGCCATCTCTGGCAGGTTTGTTTTAGATCTAGAGGAGAAAATGGCACACCAAAGTCATGAATCCACAACAAAACCATTCGAAAGAAAACTGAACAAGCAGCTAACCTGTTGTGAGTCATGTGACTCTTGACGAGGTGTCCAGCAGCTAGAGCGGCCATCAGAGACAGCTCTCCTGCCAGAACCGTGGCACAGACGACACGAGCCAGCTGACGGGCATTCTCGCCTGGCTGGTTGGGCATCGTAACACCGAGCATCTGAAGACAACGCAGTAAAGTCCAGTTTAGTTCATTTTGGGGGAAATGATAAAAATCCCCATGGTTTGTCTTTTTGTGATAAAAACATTTATAACCACCTCTGTCAGCGTGCCCCTGGGCAGCTGTGACTACATCGTAGCTCATCATCACCAGCAGGTGAATGTGTGTGTGAATGATGTAGTGTAAAGCACTTTGGAGTCCTAGTTAAGGGTAATGGCGCTGATGAGCTAATCTGTATTTTTTGAAACCGCTTTAAGCTCTTCAACATGTTCATGAGATTTTTAATTAAACCACCTTCAAAACAACTACATGCAGTAAAATGGTTGAGGATTGGACTATAATGCTGGTACAAACCCTTAACCCAGCCCGTACCTGTAGACAGGCCTGCTGCGGGGGCAGATTGGTTCCTCCTCCCACTGTTCCCAGTTCTATCGAAGGCATAGTGACACTGATGTATAAATCCTCCCTATTTGGACCGGTGGCCTCCATCTGAGTGATGCAGCTGGAGCTCCCGACGGTCTGAGCTGGATCCTAAAACAACAACTAGATCATTTCAAGATTCCTAAAATACTCAAACCAGGGAATCACTAAAATAAAGGTTCTTGGTCAGAATCGAAACTGAGGAAAACACCGAAACAAACAAGTATGTCAATAATCAGAACCGTAGCATTAATGGCTACCATGTGTGCTAACCTCACTAAAATCAAAGAATTGCAACAAATCAGTTACAAAACCATGAATATCACTGACATAACAACAATGTAATTAAAACCCTAAATAAAACGTTTTATTTGAACCCGCTCATGTGGACATTAAATAATAATTATAAATAAATCCATTATAAATGCACAGGCTTATAACTGAAAGGCCTGCTGTAAAATGAACCCTAAGCAACATTGTTGTGTTTAAAGAGCAAGTCACCCTCACATCAATTTTTTTCCCTGATAACCTATATAAATGTGTGTCTAATCGTGCTGCAGACACGTGTATTCAATAGTTTTGCACTTTAGTGCATTTTAGTTAAAATCTTTATTTTCTGCCTAAAACTCAGTGTTGTGCCGTCGTCAGGTAAAAACTCTGCACTGCATTTGAATTTAAATCTGCCAACGCTATTGGCTAAGAGGTACCCTAGAACGTTAGCTGGTACCATATGATGTCACAATGTTGTGAGCCTGTGTGTGTGGCCATGTTCGAGTTGATCTGCGCCTCGCCTGGAAAACAGACAAGAGCAGACGGAAGCAGCAGGGGGAGTGGCTGAAAGCCGGCGTTTAAGTCGGACACAATTTCCTGCTTGTGTAGCTCGGGGGGGGGACGATGGCTGAAGATATCGCGTTAGCATTCACACTTGTTTAATTTTCAATTTTAATTCTGGTGCCTGTTAGCAGCAGAAACACATCCTCACGTGCTTGTGGATATCATATATTGTATATGAAAACATGACTGTAATAATAAGTAAAGGTTATCAGCTGTAGGTTTAGTGTGCTCATAGGAAACGTGACAAAAGAACACAAAACACATTTCTCTTTATGGCCTATATAGTTGTCATCATCAACATAACATGATTTACAGAATACATGTGACCAACTAACATTTCATGTTCTACCACCGGATGTTTGGATCAAAATATGAACCAATCAGATCTTAGATCAGGTGAGAGCCAGGCGTTTCCTGTCATGCCCTAGGTTTTGCAGCCGAGGGAGAGCAACTGCAGCGCCTTGCTCCAAAATCTGTGGCTGCCTTGATCTCACGAGGTTATCGTTGCCTACGTATGCATGACTTCAGAGCAAGTTGCCATTAAGTCGGATACAAATCTAACCGGCATGCACTGCGCGCCGATCACCGGTGGTCTAATCTGCGCAGAACTGGCTCATCTCTAACACAGCCTGTGTGTATTTGTTAGCGGCTCCGCCCTCTCGGTCTGCTAGGCAACAGCATTTGTTGCATTTTTCAAACAGGAAGTGGGAGCGGAGTAATACTCTGGTAGGAGGTGACTTGCTTGTGACGACAGCACAACAATGACAGTTTTAGGCAGAAATTTCAAATTTTAACTAAAATGCACTAAAGTGCAAAACTATTGACTACACGTGTCTGCAGCACGATTAGACACATTTATATAGTTTATCAGAAAAAAAATTTGATCACCCCCTACCAGTGTATTACTCCACTCCCACTTCCTGTTTGAAAAATGCAACAAATACTGTTGCCTAGCAGACCGAGAGGGCGGAGCCGCTAACAAATACACACACACAGGCTCACAATAACATTGTGACATCATATGGTACCAGCTAACGTCACTGTACTTCTTAGCCAATAGCGATGGCAGATTTAAATTCAAATGCAGTGCAGAGTTTTTACCCGACGACGGCACAACACTGACAGTTTTAGGCAGAAAATTAAAGTTTTAACTAAAATGCACTAAAGTGCCAAATTATTGCGTATGCTTGTCTACAGCACGATTAGACACTCGTTTATATAGTTTATCAGCAAAAAAACTTGGTTTGGGGATGACTTGCTCTTTAACGAGTCACAGCTGCAAGTATAATCCCTCATGTATTTATGACTTTACACCAGAGGATAGTGGAGATGTGTAACTTCAGTCTGTGCAACACTTTTGGGCGTTTCTATTGACATTTTCAGAGTTTAAAGGGTTTGAAAACTGTCACAAGTGTCCAGAACATATCTTCATTTGGTTTGAATGAGTGTGAGAAAGACCTTAAGAGGATCTGAGATGAAATTACAAATAAAACTAAAGTAAATGAAGAACCGTAGAGAAAAGCTGGTCTTCAGACTCGGTCTTATGGAAAACGTCACAGAAATGGTTCACGCTCCGGTTCAGTGCAACTCCAACTGAAAATGTGTGTATTTTCTTACAATGGTGCGTCTCCACCCAGCTGCAACTCGATGTTTTCATATTTGATTTTCACTCATTACCGTTTCAGTTTAGATAAAACGTTTGTGTCTACATTGCTGATGGCTCATGACTGCAGGGATGTAGGTACTCGGGTCTTTGACTTATGTAAATATGGCGAGCTGCGGTTTAACATGTAGAGAGAGAGAGAGACACACTTTGTGCAGATGTTCCCTCTGTCAGGAGAAGAAGCCACTCCAGATGAACAATAAGCAGAAGGACAACAGAAGATACGACTGGGACAGCTCAGCGAGCTAACGCAGCAGCAAGTGCCTAAATAATAAAACCTGCATTCGATATGTCACCTGTGCACGTACAAAGGCCGTGGGAAGTTTTGGTTATGACATTTGTGGAGTAATCGGACCAACAAGCTAACATTAGAAACCGCTACATGCTAATTCAGACAAAATCACAACTTTCTGGGAGCAAACTTGCGTGATTGTTGAAATTAGAGGTTGGACTGGACGAATATTTTTGAGACCTGGCCTGTAGGACCTAGTGACTTGATTCAGACTAATCTTATGGGACTTGAACACTAAGGACTCGAGTGATGACTTGACAACAACACTGCCTGATAGTCACTCTCACTCTAAAGCTCCATTGAAAACTTCTTACTTTGTTTTGTCGAACTGTTTCTGTAAATCTTCCCAAAAGATGCAGATGCATGACGTCATTAACACTGCACACTGAAGCCGTCCACACAGCTGTTACCCTCTAGTCTTTATCTGTTGTTGCAACAAATCAACACCACTCAAATGTCACGCAGAGTTTGAGCTGTTTACTGATAAAAGCTCATCTGAGTCAGCTGTTTTCCCTCTGATTCTGCACAACAAACACTAAAGTGACTCGTTACCTGTCCACAGGCGATGTAGATGGCTGCTACGACGTTTGCAGCATGAGCGTTAAAGCCCCCGACGCTGCCAGCCATGGCAGAGCCCACCAAGTTCTTGCTGATGTTCAGATCCACCAGAGCAGCCGTACTGCTCTTCAGCACCTTCCACGTCATAAGCAAAGCCATCAGAACCGTGTCGGATAAGCGCAGACGTAAAGTGGGCCGGTGCTAACCTCTCTGACCACCCTGCCGGGAATAGTGGCCTCACACACAGCGGACTTCCCCCGGCCCAGTATCCAGTTCACTGCAGCAGACTTCTTATCAGTGCAGAAGTTGCCGCTGAGCGACAGCACCTCTACGTCTGGATGCTGCTGCTGGAGTTGCTGCAGAGCCTTCTCGGTTCCCTGGAGGAGACGACACGTTCAAACCAATTCAGTTCATTTACGTAACGCCAAATCGCAACAAGAATGGTCTTAAGACACCACAAAGTAAACATTCCAAGTGAACCTACTTATCAGGAAGTGACCTTGAGGGAGTGTATATGTTTATCCTAAAGGCCAAAGGTCAACTTTTAACAGAGTTGCAACATCAAAAGGTTTATTAACTGATGACACGGACCCTCGTCTGCGGCGTGCCAGCAGACTATACGGGGTCGGTTTTAATTCTGTAAAGCGATCAGAGCTGCGGTCTTTGTATGAAAAGTGCTTTATAAATGAAATTTGATGGATTGGTTAACCAAAAAAGCCCAACCACAGTACATAACAGACTAGATTAGTATCAATAACTTTATTAGTATTATCCAACGTGGGGAAGTCTAAGTGTACCTTTGAGAGCATGTTCATACCCATGGCATCACCCGTCTGTGACTGGAAGCGAATGAAGAGGTTCCTCCCCGCCACACAGACCAACAGCTTCTCCAGACGTGCAAACCTACAAAGTGCAAAGGGATATTACAAAATGCCTTTTTTTTAAATACACAAGCTTGTTTTTATTTGACTGTTGGCGTCAGCCAATCCCAGCGCTCCTCCTGACCTGCTGGTCTCATCGAAAGCATCTTTCAGTAGGCTGAATCCTTCCGAGGTCTCGAGCCAGAGTTTGACCTCCGCCGCCCGGCACGCCGAGGGCAGCCTCACCACAGGACCCCTGGTCATCCTGTCTGCTAGGATCCTGCTGCTGCAACCCCCACTCAGCTGAACAGGAAGGACTGCAGTGTCAGCAGGATGCACGCACACACACACACACACGCACGTGCACGCCAACAGGAACATGACAATCATCACTCACAGACAGCGCTCTGCATCCTCGGTTGGTGCTGGCTACCAGGCAACCTTCTGTTGTGGCCAACGGGACATAAAACTGCTTGTTGTCCAACAGAAGCGGGCCGGCCACGCCCACCGGCACCGGCATGTAGCCGATGACGTTCTCACAGCAAGTGCCCATCACCTACAGGACGAGGGAGGTAAACATCACACGCTAGAATAAAAATATTCAACATGATTATAACAAAGTTACTTTCTAACTGAGAGAATTTTAATTTCACAGGTACACATGACATCACTACCTTTGAATAGTCATAGCCTTTATAAGGCAGACAGGCTAACGCTGAGGTTCCTGGTAGTTTAGCCGATAGCATCTCTCTCCTGATGCCCACACCCCTCTCAGGAGTCTCAAGTACCGCCTCCAGCTTGTAGTTCAGGATCTTGGAGGAAGTCACGAGGATCATCACCTCTGCATCACTAAGCATCCGAGGACCCCTCTACAGCATCACACAGTAACTGATTAAAGACAAAAGCACAAACCCAGATTCATGGCCTCCGTCTGACCTGAGCAGGCGAGTTACCTGAGGATCTGAGAGGATGGCCAAACACTCTTCCATAGATCGAGGCTCTGACTTGCAACTTGGAGAAAAGCACGTGTCGTTTTCCACCGTCAGAGTTTCTGTCGCTGCTGAGGCAAAAGAATCAGGAGGGAGAGAAACGAGTCGTACGAAGCCTTCAGATTTGTTTAGAGACGAGGCTGAACTGTAACAAGCTACATCTACAAAGAATAAAGTCCTCTAGATCTTTTTATAACCACCTTTTAGTAGAAACGGCTCTTATTTAGGATATGCTGAAACAAACACGCATAAGCTCCACCCACCTGTGATGGTGGTTTCACCCTCAGGCACAAGTTTGTGGTCAGACGCAGCGCCGGTTGTCAGGACACTACCAGCCGTCCTCTGGGGCTTTGCAGCCGAGACGTCCCTCCTGCAGCAGTCCTCAGCTGCCCGGGACTTTTGCTTCACAGACGAGACGTTAATTGGACTCCTGAGAGACAACGAGGACTCTGCCTCCGCCTGCTCAAAGAGGACGTACTTGACAGCGAGAAGCAGGGCTAGGCTCAGGGTGATCACGTGTTCCAGCTCCAAGCTGGTGGGTTAAACAGAAGAAGCGTTTCACCAAACATAGCAGGCTTCAGAGGATTAAATAACTTCCACGTTTTATTCTGATGCTTTACCTGCTGAGCTTCACAGGCCACATGGTACCGGTCGAGTCCATTCTCTTAGCCATGGGTCCCTCCGCCGTGTGGTTCCCACCTGAACTCTCAGCCGTTAGTCGTGTGTGGGCATGAACCAAGGCCAACCCAAGAGACTAGGAGGTAACATCAGACAGCCATCCTCAGTGAGACCACAATCAATAATGTACCAAAAAAAGGTACAACTCCCTCTTTAGCCTGCTTTAGATACGGCTCTACAGCCTAGGATAAAAACTGTTCCCACCATAATGATTTTAACCCTTTGGGTCACAGGATTAGGCTTGTTATCCTCCTCTTCAGCCAGGACATGAGCCAAGTGGCTCAGCTGCCAGATCGGACGCCCTTCACGACTTTCCCTGGAAAGCTGCAAACCGACGAAAGCAAAGTTAGACTTCGACAACTCTTTTCATCCTGCCAGGCTGCGTTTGCATCCCTCTTACCTCCAGGACCAGGGACACGCACGCAGGAAAGAACGTCATAAAGACAAAGTAATTGGCCAGAACGGACATGCAGCCAAAGCAGCACATGATCTCCAACTGAGGAACACCTAAAAACATGGCAGAAACAACTACTTCAACGTGATTTTAACACAATTCAGCAACCGTCTCCTGCTTTTACAGATAAAGAAGTTACCCGACATGGTGCCGACTCCAATAACGAGGCACTCGACCAGAGCATCCAGAGTGAACGTGGGGCCCAGGATGGCCATGCCCTGTGAGATGTTCTCCCTCACCTCCTCCTGCACACAAACCACAGGATCGTATGGTTCCACAGCACAATCCCACGCTGCCTGGATGCATGACGTTACTGTTCGGATTCATCAAACGCACAGACCAGGCGCGTCGAACAAACCTGAGAGTTTGAGCTGAGGGCAAATTTAGCCAGCGTGCATGCTTTGGACAGGTCAATGAGCAGGAGGAAGAAGGGCAGAGCTTCACTGGGGGTGAAAAGACAAAGCAAGGAGAAATCATACTTACTTGTCAAATGTGATAAACAAAAATTCTCATGTGACGAATAAATAAATAGAGACTCAAAGGTAACTCAAAGCTTCATGAGTCTGGTGCTTTTAGAAGATGGAAGCTTCACTTCCACTTTTCCGTTTCGCTCGGTCGAACGCGTGACTCAGCGGTCGTCCAACTTAAACGTCGAGTATTTCACCAGCTTCATCTGACCAACACATTACTAGTTTATCCATCTGTTACAGGCTAACGGCATTTTAGTGTTGTTGTGTTTGATTATAGGTAGGGATGTGAATCTTAGAGCAACTCACGATTTGATTCGATTCCGATTCGTGGGGTGCCGATTCGATTCAGAATGGATTCTCAATTTAAATCGATTCACAATCTGTATTAACAAAGAGTGTCAGCTCCAGGATGAACTACTTTGTTGTACAAGTTAGTTAAACTATGGGACATTTTTATTTGACTTTAAACTGGTCATGCTCCAAAAATGCTAATTTACAATGTAAACTAAAGTGATTCTAAAACTGTAAACAGAAGCAATCTTTTGACCAAAAGGCAACATTTATTTTTTGCTTACCTTGTAAAATATAACAAACCTGTAGTTACCTAACAGTAGCTTTGAAAGTAATACGGTCAAATACTTTTCAAGTATGTGTAGAAACAAGTTACATGAGTAATCCTGAGTACTCATTTATCAACTTAGAAAATAAATATGAGAATATCTCAAATTTCTGAGTATGGAAAAAATTACATTCAAGTGCCCTCTCATCAGCAGATTCAAACATAAATCATCTCAATTTATGGGACCACAAAAGTAAACAGAGTACTGACTCTCCTAACAAAGATCAAAAAAGTGCATCTCAAACCTGTAACATGAATATTTGAGTTCTTGGAATTGATTCTGAATCTTTATAAATAAGAATCCAGATTCAGACTTGAATCGATTTTTTTCAGCACCTCTAATTACAGGTGTTGAAACAGGTTTTCTAAGGTTCCTATAATATAAAACATGTGGTGGATGCATTCAGAGCCTCTGCCAAAATCTAAATACTGCATAAAAAACACTTACTTTAGGCCAGTTAGTTCTTTCCCAAAGAAGTGAATGACCACTGAACTGAAAACAAAGCTGGAGAACACTGTGAAAAGCCCTGCAATTCCTGAAAAAAGAACAAAAGTCATTGTTATCACTATGTCTTATCTGAAGACAACTGCGTTTACGTAATAAAAACCATTTACTTTTACTACATAAAGATATTATCCATGCTCTGAAAAACGTCTAAGACAACCTTCCTTTAGGGCTGATAGTACAGATTTCATTGGCTCTGAATAAACAGATAACCCAGTTATGTTGTACTATTTCAGCCACACATGTAATCAACAGTGTGTTTATCCAAGTGACCAACACACACACTAACCCAGAATATATTTGGATCCCAGCTGTAGAAGGTTCTTGAACTGGAAGTAGATGTAAATAATGGCCATGCAGCGCGTCACCGTCAGAATGATGACGTCACTAGTCAGGACTTCCTGTAGGAAAACGGTCATTTCTTATGGTTAGAATGGGTGAACTTCTTCCTTTGTGCTCATTCACAACATGCTAACCTCTTCCACTTTAGGACAGTTGTTCCAGCTGCACATCTGGTTGCTAGTTGCTAACGTGTTCATAGACATGAGGCAGATGGTGACAGCCAGGGTTCCCACGATCACCTCCCAGGGGTGAGAGGCCACCAGCAGGCCATGAAACCTGAAGAGTTGCACTAACATGGTGTCACGGTGGATTTGTTCTTTGACAGCTTCACCTGTGAACGAAACCAAAAACACCACAAGGTGTTTAGTTTGACGGTTCTAACATCAATGCTATTTAGGTTTTGTAGAAATAAAACCTTCAGCTGCACGATTTGGTGAAAAACCAAAAAGAATTTCTTTGAACTCAAAAATAATAAACACAATAAACTTTGTTTTATTTTGTTTTGATCTATGTGAAGCACTTAGTGATTCTATGTCTGTGATAAGTGCTATAGAAATAAAATGTACTTCTGAAATCAGCCAATTTTGTATAGACTGGAAATTATGCAAGCTGAATTTTTGAATGCCTTATTTAGGGATGCAACGATACCACTTTTTTCCAAACCGATAAGATACAGATACTTTGATCGGAGTACTCGCCAATACCGATTACCAAAACCGTTACTTCTACCACACAAAAAAACGCAATGATTTGGAATACAGATTTTATTTTCTTCTCAGCTTTCAACAGGAAAAACTGTGAGGTGGATACAAAGTAAAGTTTCTTCTTCTTAAAATATACGAATGGAAATCATCACAAAACTAAAATATTAGGTGAACAAAAATGACAAGTTACAGTGAAGCCATGTTCAAGCAACTGCATTGGTATCGGTTCCTGGTACCGGTTAACTTTTACTGATACCGATACTGGCATTGGTATCGGTGCCGATACCAGTATTGTATCGGTGCATCCCTAGCTTTATTTATTTATTTGACTAATAGTTTTTCCAGCAGGTTTTCCTCCTACGATACAACCGATATTGATGCATATGTTCTGATAAATGACCCGCACTTGTATAGCGCCTTTCAGGGTCAGAGGACTCCAAAGTGCTTTACACTAAAGTGCATCATTCATCCATCACAGACTGGTGGGGATGAGCTACGGCTGCATGGTGGCGCAGTGGTTAGCACTGTTGCCTCGTAGCACGAAGGTTGCAGGTTCGAAACTCGGCTGCGGCCTTTCTGCGTGGAGTTGCGTGTTCTCCCCATGCATGCGTGGGTTTCCTCCGGGTACTCCGGTTTCCCCCACAGATCACAACATGCCCTATAGGTTATAAATTGTAAGTCGCTTTGGATAAAAGCGTCTGCGAAATAAATAAACATAAACATGTAGCCACAGCTGCCCTGGGGCACACTGACAGAGGCGCACCGATATTGTGCATCCCTATTCACAATGTTTTTATTTGAACACGTGCAGTCAAAACAAAAAGGAAATTTACTAAATTAGATGCATATCAGTCATTTATCACTCAGCAATCCGATTTGTCTCTGGTGCCCCTTTCACTATCACCGCGGTCAGAGATGGGGAATTGTGGCATCGAGTCATCTCCATGCCGTGTTTTTCTTCAGTTCAGCAACTAAACCAGGTGATTTCAATCAGCACGGTGAATGAACTGTGTTCAGTTGCTGAGCAGAACAAAAACACAGCATGGAGATAACTTGTTGATGTCACAATTCTCATCTCCGCATTATCATGACCTGCACTCACTCGTTAACTAGCCATCGCTCCATTTCTGCAGGAAACAATCATCGGTAGAACCTCATCATATCTACGCTCATTACTCACCATTTCCAACAACCAATGCAATTTACGATCCAGTATCTTAATCCCTGTGATTATTCCCAAAGCCTACACCTGCCTTCAGGTTGCTGCTTCCAACTGGAATGAGCTGCAAATATCACTGAAACTCCCCACCATACTTCCCTTTATCTACCTTCAACAATCCATTATGATCAATAGTTTCTGATCAATGTGCCTGCCTCTGAGTGCTTAAAGACTGTTTTAAGTCTGTTTTGATGGCGTGTACATATTATATATCAGAACAGTCGTTATGTTAAACTGTTTTAAGCTTATTTTTATCTTGCTTGTTTGTCCATCTGTTGCTGCTGCCTCTTGGCCATTTCGTCATTGTAAAAGAGTTTTCAATCGACTCATCTGGTTAAACAAATAAGTAAAAATATCCACTAAAGTGTTCCAGAGTCAAAAGGTTGCGGCATCTTTAGTCATACTTCTTTCTGCCCAGTAAAAATAAATATACAATGTGTGTGTGTGTGTCCTGTAAAATATCTACATATACATACGAACAGCAAGCTGTTTGAATTTGAACTCTAAACTGATAGCCTCTGTCTCGACAATAAAAACATTTCAGAATGTCAGAGTTTTGTTGCTTTTAACATTATCGCTGCTGTTAGAAACGGGACCAGATGTGGGAATCTTATCAATTTTTTACTTTAAATGAAGAGGATTAGTGTGATCTCGTTTATAAAATGATTAATGTAAAAAGAAAAACACCTCCACTGGTCTCAGAGGGGAAGAAATGTGTTTTTAGCAGTTGGAACTTCCCACAGTAACAAAAGCATCATTTCTCTACATCTGTGACCTAGGTGGATATTAGGATTTGGTTAATAATTAATTAAATTGAATATTTAGATCGAACAAAAAACTGATTAATGCTTTAAGGATGCTTATTTGTGTATATTTGCAACACTCTTGTCTAGAAATCATGAACGAAGGTCAGTTTGAACAAACAAATCACTAAAGACCGTCTGCAGAAAAGTTGCTAATCAGGACCATAAAAATATATATTAATTTAAAAGTCATTTTGACCTAAGGCGTTTTAACCATGTAGTGTCTTCTTTGTCTATTCTATAAATATATTGTATAAATATTGATACTGAAGATTTCTTGTATGGTCAACCAATGACCTTAATAATTCCTTCATAGCTAACAAGCTAGTGTGTATATTCAGATTACTTCTGAGTTTGTTTCCTATTGAAACTAAACATTTCAAATTAGAGGATTTAAATACAAGTGGTAACTAACTGCTATCTGCAGTGGGTGGCAAAGCACAATTTTTATTTAGCGTTAGCTGCTACTAAAACAAACTGACAGAACTACTTAGCATTAGCCTAATTAGCTGCCACACAGGAGTATCTTAAACCGGGGAGGACCGAGTGTGATAACAAAATGAATTTACTCCCGTAGGTTTATCAAATACACTTTAAAATGATCATCACAGCATTTACTTACTTCACAAGATGCTTTTTCTCCGTAAACTGAAGCTCTTTTCCATCTTCGTGCCGCTCTGTGACTAATCTGACGTAACGCAGGCAAAATCAACATGGCGATGCGGAAATCCCGGACGTCATTTCTCTCAGCATAGACATGAATACGTACGACGCACCTTTGGGCGCTGGAAGGCGTAGCAGCGTCGCAGCCATATTGAACGGGTCTACTAACTCTCCAAAGTCAAATGCAGTGTGAGCAACTATGCCCGTTTCTGTGCAGCCTATTACAAAAACTGGCGTACTCGTGGGATTACTAGTGACATTTCTAACATACCTGATGGGACTTTATATTTAAATTTATTTTTATTTATTTTGTTAATGTTGGAGCCTTCCAAGCAGACCAGATGCAAGTTGTTCTTTAAACAGATTTATTGTTGGCTTTTCGTCATTGATCTTTTCTCCGACCTTCCAAAGACCTCCTTCAAACCGTGATAATGTGCACACAAGATTTACAATGATCTCAAAAGGAAAAATGTGCATAAAACAAAGACAAATAAATACCTCGTTGGCTGGATGCTTCAGGAAGGGACTCCAAACATCCTTTTAGTCTTTTAACATGCTTTTTAGTCCTTTTGCAAGTCTTTTCTTTCTGCTTTGTCACAGAATTTTCCAGTCAGTTTGCCAGCACCTCATCCATGTTTCTTAGTTACACAACACAGGTGGGTCACGTTAATAATTAATATAGGAAAAATTTGATTGGCTTAATAAACTGACCTGTATTGGAATGTTTACTGTGTGACGTGCCTTGAGATGACTCTTGTTGTGATTTGGCCCTAAATAAATAAACTTGACTTGAATTGAATTGAGTTGAGTTGAGGCTGGCTAAGAAGCCTATGACTTTCAAAATAAAAGACAAAAAAACATTTTCGTTTAATAATCATTCATGGAGACGACGGAAACAAGGAGAAAAATAGTTTACAGGTTTTAAAACAGTTTCGTGAACCCTGCTGTTTGTTATAAACTAGAGATTCAGTTATTGATAAAAACCTCATCAGACTCCAGCATGCAGGCTTATGATACCCTTGTATGAGTTGCTCCCGGCGGTCCGGAGGTTTGCGGTCAGAGTGGTGAGGTCACCGGACGTCAAAACCACAATACTCAGAGATTAGTAGCTTCCTCTGAGTTCAGCTTCCCCGGCAATGAGATGCAACCCGGGGTCTGCAGGTTAGGTGTCCAAGGTGGATGTCCGAGTTGAAGTAGCTCTGAAAAGCTGTTGTGTCTGTAATCACTTGCAGCGTCGGAGAAAGGTTTTGACTTAAGATCAAAGGACATTGTTTCAAAAGAGGCTTCTTTCCCGATTTGGCCGAATCGGGGTCAGCTGGAAGCAGAATTAAATGGGAAGTAATTCTTGTTTTATGAAACTACTTTGTTATGATTTCTGGCCAAGTTTGGCAAATCAGAATTTGACACGTTTCTGAGTATTTACCAACATCCCTCAGAGAGCCACGCCTTCCTACAGATAAAAACATGTTTTTAACCTTAATGTGTATCTTATTGTAATATGTATGAGGTAAACAATGACTAACTTATTAAATCAAACACATACTGATTTGAGACATAAATGGATCTTTGTAAGAACAATATGCATGTCTAATTCATTGATTTAAGCACAGATTATTCAAACATTTGATTAAAACATCTTGTTTATTCATCACATATGATTATTTAACTTATAACTATAACATCGTGGAGTCTTCACTTATTCAGAGTGAAGAATGTTGACGTCTGGCTTTCACACAGTGAGTGCAAGAACCTTGGGTGAGAATGTTGGTTTGAATGTTTTGTCTTCATGGTATATAAACATGCGCTGAACAGAACCTTCTGGATTTAGAAGGTCCAACAGAAAGTGGATTAAGGCTGTAGATAAAAGGTCACTATGCTATAGGTGAAAATTGACCCTTTTGGACGTTACACTGGACTGTACCCTTTCTGTCTGGACTGTACCATCACTGTCTCCTCCTCACAGCTCGGTTACATCACAAACATTAATCCTGAAGCAAATAAATCTCTCCTCGGTTTTAAGATTGCCAAGAAAAATATTCCTAAAACCAAAAGGAGATCTTATGGATCAGACAGTTCAAAGGGCATCTGTTGGATCATGGAGGGAATGTCTGCAGATGGAAGTCATTTAGCATAAAATGAGGGGGTTGCAATCTGGGGCCCTATGCACCTTGATTCGGTGTGAATGCTATGTGGCCTGTGTGTCACCATGGATGGGCACCATGACGCCATCTTGGGCTCCGTGAGTGGCTAATGTTAATTATTTTCTAAACCAGACGCAGGCAGAGGGAGTCTTGTTAGCTTGATCCAGAGAAAAATATAGATTTTAATGCAGACTCTGCCACAGCGGAAACTTTAAATGTTTATAAATATTACCGATGCTAGCTAGCTAGTCCCTCCCGAATGTCTGAGCTCCTCACCCTATCTCTAAGGCTGAGCCCGGCCACCCTACGGAGGAAACTCATTTCGGTTGCTTGTATCCGCGATCTGGTTCTTTCGGTCATTACCAAAAGCTCATGACCATAGGTGAGGATTGGGACGTAGATCGTAAATTGAGAGCCTGGCTTTCTGGCTCAGCTCCCTCTTCACCACGACAGATCGGCACAGCGTCCGCATCACTGCAGATGCTGAACCAATCCACCTGTCGGTCTCCCGATCCCTCCTACCCTCACTCTTGAACAAGACCCCGAGATACTTAAACTGCCCCACTTGAGGTAGGACCTCTCTCCTAACCCGGAGTTGGCAAGCCACCCTTTTCCGGTCGAGAACCATGGTCTCAGATTTGGAGGTCCAGCCGCTTCACACTTGGCCACGAACCTATCCAGCAAGAGCTGAAGGTCAGAGCTGGATGAAGCCAGAAGGACCACATCATCCACAAAAAGCAGAGACGAGATTCTCCTGCCACCAAACTCGACACACTCCACACCATGGCTGCGCCTAGAAATTCTATCCATAAAGGTAATGAACAGAACCGGTGACAACGGGCAGCCCTGGCGGAGTCCAACCCTCACCGGGAACAGGTCCGACTTACTACCGGCTACGCGGACCAAACTCACTCTCCTCTGATAAAGGGACTGAATGGCCCTTAGCAGAAAGCCACCCACCCCATACACCTGGAGCGTCCCCCACAGGGTGCCCCTGGGGACACGGTCATAAGCCTTCTCCAAATCCACAAAACACATGTGGATTGGTTGGGCAAACTCCCATACCCCCTCCATCACCCTTGCAAGGGTATTGAGCTGGTCCACAGTTCCACAGCCAGGACGAAAACCACATTGCTCCTCCTCAATCTGAGATTCAATTATCGATGGGACCCTCCTCCCCAGTACCTTGGAGTAGACATTTCCAGGGCGGCTGAGGAGTGTGATCCCCTATAGTTGGAACACACCCTAAGGTCACCCTTCTTAAAGATGGTGACCACCACCCCGGTCTGCCACTCCACAGAAACTGCCCCCGATGACCACGCAATGTTGCAGAGACGTGTCAACCACGACAGCCCTACAACATCCATAGCCTTGAGATACCCAGGATGAATCTTGTCCGCCCCCGGGGCTCCGCCGCTGTGTAGTTGTTTGACTACCTCAGCAACTTCTGCCCCCGAGATTGGACAGTCCATCCCCAGGTCTCCCGGCTCTGGTTCCTCCTCGGAATGCGCGTAGGTGGGATTGAGGAGCTCCTCAAAGAATTCCTTCCACCGTCCGACTATAGCCCCAGATGACGTCAGCAGCTCCCCATCTCCACTGTAAACAGTGTGAGCGAGTTTCCGCCTTCCTCTCCTGAGGCGCCGGACAGTTTGCTAGAACCTCTTTGGAGCCGATCGATAGTCTTTCTCCATTGCCTCACCAATCGCCTCCCACGCCCGAGATTTTGCCTCGGCAACTGCCACTGCTGCACCCCGCTTGGCTATCCGGTACCTGTCTGC